GATGCCAGTGATATGGCTCCATCAGATAAATCGCGAGTGCGTGTATAAACAAGTGATTGACTACGCTGGAGTGCCGCATTTTGAAATTGGAATTAAAGCCCGGTTGGATTGTCTGGAAAAGATAATTTACTCCAAAATTGGCACTCCTAATTACTCCACCAATTAATCGATTTTTCCGATAATTGTTAGCTAGCACTCTAGTTGTTGACAACCGCTACGGTGCTAGCTAACAATTATTGGAAAAAACGATTAATTTCCGGAGTAACTAGCAGTCCAAATTTCGGAATAAATTATATTTTCCAGATAATCCATCCGGGCCTTAAATTTACGTCGAATTTTAAATCTCCGCCCAAAACAGTAAGTACGATATTAAATTATTATTGAAGTAAATCAAGTAAACATCACTGACAAATTTGTGAAGATATTTTTACTAACTGTTAATTCGTTGAAACACAAATAATCAGCAGTCGGAGGCTTTGAAATCAGCTCGTTAAAAATTCCAGTCAGTGGAATCTGAGGCATCGAATAGCTCAGAGTTATTAAAAGGGAAGCTGGAGAGATTGAAGGAGAAGGTACAGGGAGTCATCGACGAGGCAGGAAAAACGGAGCTGAGATGAGTCTAAACAAAAAGGTTTATTCAAAAATACTTTCATATATCCAGATAAATACACCATAGCCTAATACTCGTGGTATTTACCGATTAAATACAATTTTAAAAGCCAATGTTTTGTGTGTCTTTTCAGTGTGTGGTAATAATGTTTAAATTCGACCCAGAGTGGATAGTGCACTTTTTGAAAACTGCTATAAATTTATTTCTGTATGCAGGTCATGTAAAAGTCATATCATTCCATCATGTTCCTGATGAAACATTTTTATATTTCAGTTTTTACTTATGAGGAGGGCTGAAGGTATTTATAACTCAAATAAAAATTCAATATAAACCCATAAATAAATGTTTATTGTGTTCGATCAAATTGATTCAATTCGAACGAGAACGATTTCCAGCGATCAGAACTTCCTTTTCAGATTCCAATTCTTTAAACTAGGAAACCTCACGAAAAGTTAGTAAGCCGCATATCTAATAATAAGACAAGAAAATAATGAGATAACCGCCTTAATCCATTATTATTTATTATTAATAAATAATTTTTTTTGATTCCAGGTTTTCAAATAATAACAATATCCCATCTATTGACCTAGTGGATTAGGTCTACAGGGGATACCACTTTAAAAAAAACGCGTCAAGGACTCTACCTCTTGGGTGACGCGGAAAGAGTTTCACTTTAATTATTTGATTTATGAAAAAATAGTTAATACTGGATCAGAATCTCTCTTATTGAAATAATCATATACTCATTGTTCATTTATGCTTTTGTAGACAATTTTTATGCCATACCTTTTTTTTTCATGTCAATTTGAAAGAAAAGAAATTAAACGACTCGACTGGCATTCAAATGTAAACTCCAGAAATCGCTGAATTGTGGGGACAAAACGCACGTGTGGCGCCCTCCCTCTCTTGGGGTGCAGGATTACGATGCCGCTGGGGTCACTCCAATCCCCAAAACGGAGCCTCTACTTTAGTCAATCCTCTTTGAGGCAATCCACTGCGCGTCAGTGGCGTATAATTTTTCCTTGTTGTAAGAAAGTGAAATTTTCCGAAAAACCAAAGAAAATCGAGAAACAAATTAACCACTAAATCGATCCAAGGACTTTCAAATATGTATGCCGACGACGGTAAGTAATTCATCGTCATTTACACCCCCTAGAGCCTGAAATTTCTGCAAAACTCTCCCCTAACCTCACAATTAAAACCGGGAAACTCCTGCAGGGGGTGCCGATCAGTACGAGGATGACGACTCGGAGGAGATATCCTCGAAATTGTGGCAGGAGGCCTGCTGGATCGTTATCAATGCCTATTTCGATGAGAAAGGCCTGGTCCGTCAGCAATTGGACAGTTTCGATGAATTTATCGAGATGTCGGTCCAGAGGATCGTTGAAGACTCTCCTCAGATCGACCTCCAGGCCGAGGCCCAACATACATCAGGGGAAATCGAAAGCCCCATTAGACATCTTCTGAAATTCGAACAAATTTACTTATCAAAACCGACCCACTGGGAGAAAGACGGTGCTCCTTCCCCAATGATGCCCAATGAGGCTCGTTTGCGAAATTTGACATACTCAGCTCCCCTGTACGTTGATATTACGAAGACAATTGTGAAGGAGGGAGAGGACCCTGTGGAGACACAGCACCAGAAGACCTTCATCGGAAAAATTCCAATTATGTTGAGATCAAAGTACTGTTTACTGGCCAGTCTGTCAGATCGTGATCTGACGGAGTTGAATGAGTGTCCTCTGGATCCTGGAGGCTATTTCATCATCAACGGCTCAGAAAAGGTGCTCATTGCCCAGGAGAAGATGGCGACCAACACAGTCTATGTTTTCAGCATGAAGGACGGAAAATTTGCATACAAAGCTGAGATTCGTTCGTGTTTGGAGCACAGCTCTCGTCCCACCTCGACGTTGTGGATTAACATGATGGCCAAGAGTGGAGCAAGCATTAAAAAATCGGCAATTGGCCAGAGGATCATCGCTATTCTTCCTTACGTGAAGCAGGAAATTCCGATTATGATAGTTTTTCGGGCACTGGGATTTGTGGCTGATAGGGATATCCTTGAGCACATAATTTATGATTTCGATGATCCTGAGATGATGGAGATGGTGAAGCCTTCCCTTGATGAAGCCTTTGTCGTTCAGGAGCAGAATGTTGCGTTGAATTTTATTGGTACGAGAGGAGCTAAACCTGGTGTGACCAAGGAGAAGCGTATTAAGTATGCCAGAGAGATTTTGCAGAAGGAAATGTTGCCACATGTGGGTATCAGTGACTTTTGTGAAACGAAGAAGGCTTATTTTCTGGGGTATATGGTTCATCGTTTACTGTCGGCAGCTCTTGGTCGTAGAGAGCTCGACGATCGTGATCACTATGGGAACAAACGTCTAGATCTAGCTGGTCCATTATTAGCTTTTCTCTTCCGAGGCCTCTTCAAAAACCTCATGAAAGAGGTCAGGATGTACGCTCAGAAGTTCATAGATCGTGGTAAGGATTTTAATCTCGAGCTGGCGATAAAAACAAAAATTATCACCGATGGTCTGCGATACTCGTTGGCCACTGGCAACTGGGGAGACCAGAAGAAGGCTCATCAGGCTAGGGCTGGAGTATCACAAGTATTGAATAGACTAACTTTTGCCTCCACCCTCTCTCATTTGAGAAGAGTCAACTCGCCAATCGGTCGCGATGGAAAACTCGCCAAACCCAGACAGCTCCACAATACCCTCTGGGGCATGCTGTGCCCCGCTGAGACCCCAGAAGGAGCTGCTGTTGGTCTCGTGAAGAATCTAGCACTCATGGCGTATATCAGCGTAGGCTCTCAGCCCTCACCAATTCTGGAGTTCTTGGAGGAGTGGTCCATGGAGAATCTCGAGGAAATAGCCCCTAGTGCCATCGCAGATGCCACCAAAATTTTTGTCAATGGATGTTGGGTAGGTATTCACAGAGATCCTGACCAGCTCATGGCAACTCTGCGAAAACTTAGACGTCAGATGGATATCATTGTCTCAGAGGTATCAATGATCAGAGACATCAGGGACCGTGAGATCAGGATTCACACAGACGCTGGGAGGATCAGTAGGCCCTTACTCATCGTCGAAAATCAGCAATTGCTCTTGAAGAGAAGACACATTGACATGTTGAAGGAGAGGGACTACAATAACGATGGCTGGCAGGAGTTAGTGGGCTCTGGAGTGGTGGAGTATATCGACACTTTAGAAGAGGAGACTGTGATGATTGCAATGTCCCCAGAGGACTTGAGACAGGAGAAGGAATATGCTTATTGCACCACGTACACTCACTGTGAGATTCACCCAGCCATGATCCTCGGGGTGTGTGCCTCGATCATCCCCTTTCCAGATCACAACCAGAGCCCCAGAAACACTTATCAAAGTGCTATGGGTAAACAAGCCATGGGTGTGTACATCACTAATTTCCACGTGAGGATGGACACTCTCGCTCATGTTCTTTACTATCCCCACAAGCCTTTGGTTACAACTAGATCCATGGAGTATCTCAGGTTCCGAGAACTACCAGCAGGCATCAATAGTATTGTAGCCATTCTCTGTTACACAGGTTACAACCAGGAAGACAGTGTCATTCTCAACGCTAGTGCTGTTGAGAGAGGATTCTTCAGGTCTGTTTTCTACCGATCCTACAAGGACGCAGAATCCAAGAGGATTGGAGACCAAGAGGAGCAATTTGAAAAACCAACACGACAAACTTGTCAAGGAATGAGGAATGCAATTTACGATAAGCTGGATGAGGATGGAATAATAGCCCCTGGAATTCGAGTGTCCGGGGATGATGTGGTGATCGGCAAGACGATAACTCTTCCAGAGGCTGACGACGAGCTCGACAGCACCACAAAACGCTTCACCAAACGAGATGCCTCTACTTTCCTCAGGAACAGTGAAACTGGAATTGTTGACCAGGTAATGCTGACATTGAACAGCGAGGGGTACAAATTCTGTAAGATTCGCGTAAGGAGTGTGAGGATTCCTCAGATTGGGGATAAGTTCGCCTCGAGGCATGGACAGAAGGGTACGTGTGGAATTCAGTACAGACAGGAGGATATGCCATTCTCTTGTGAAGGCCTGACGCCGGATATTATCATCAATCCCCACGCCATTCCCTCTCGTATGACCATTGGTCACTTGATCGAGTGCATCCAGGGGAAAGTATCTGCTAATAAGGGAGAGATTGGTGATGCCACTCCGTTCAATGATGCGGTGAACGTGCAGAAAATCTCAACTCTTCTTCAGGAGTACGGCTACCAGTTGAGGGGTAATGAGGTGATGTATAATGGGCACACTGGAAGAAAAATCAATGCTCAGGTATTTTTGGGTCCAACTTATTATCAACGTCTGAAACATATGGTGGACGATAAGATTCACAGCAGGGCTAGGGGACCTGTGCAGATCCTGGTGAGGCAACCTATGGAGGGTCGTGCCAGGGATGGAGGACTACGTTTTGGAGAGATGGAACGAGATTGTCAGATATCCCATGGGGCCGCTCAATTCCTCAGGGAGAGACTCTTCGAGGTCTCTGATCCTTACAGAATTCATATTTGCAATTTTTGTGGACTTATAGCTATTGCCAATCTGAGGAATAATACTTTCGAGTGTAAAGGATGCAAGAATAAGACTCAAATCTCACAAGTGAGGTTGCCCTACGCTGCTAAACTGCTGTTCCAGGAATTAATGGCTATGAATATCGCTCCTAGGCTGATGGTGAATTGAATATTCAGTGAACGTGCCGTTGTACAGTGATTACGAACTAATTCATTTCTTTCTTCAATTGAGGTGAGGATTTTTGTAATGCGAGGTCGACTAGATTAATTAATTTTATTTCGTTTGAGTAATAAAAATAATTTTAAGAATAAAATTGTATTTTTTTTTTCATCGAAACAGTTGGAGAGGCCTATAACAATAATCTGGTAGATATGCAGATCAGAATTCGAATTATGTTGATTTTTGTGTACAAGGAATGACAGTTCTGAGAATCATATATGGAATGATGTTTATTATTTACATGATTGGAGAGTTGGAATTAGAGTTATTGAGTTTCTGTGGGGGTCCCTTGAGCAGTGTTTTGAGATCCTAAACTGACGTAACTAACGTCCTTCAGACAAAACGGCGATCGACATTGAGGACAACTACTCTTTACTTCTGCAGCAGTTTTTGCCCTGCGCCGAGAGGTCGAAAGAAACCTGTCGAATTATATTTATTAATGCATTAATAAACAAGCTAGGATATCCTCTAGTAGATTGAGTAATGAATTCAGTTTAGGCGAAAGATATTTGTACCATTTTGCGAGACAGTCGATGCAAAATATGGGCGGACAATTGCATGTTTTGCAGGCCGGAATACCATCCATCTCTGGAATATCGGGACAATTTCGATTCAATTTAACATTCGATATTGCTTGCATGCATACCGCACATTGATCCAGTTGCTGAAAAATCAAGCGCGAAATTACGATTACTATTTGCGTATTTTTTTTAAAGTCTGGCAATACAAATCGAAAATTCGATTAATTTGATTGCTCTTCCGCTGAAAATGTTGCACCTGGTTAGTTTTATAGGTGGGATTTTTCGCAATTTCTTTCTTAATCGCATAAATTGCAATTTCTGTGAGAGTCTGGGGTATTTGGATCGAAGATGAATCCCTCCTTGGCATTGTTATCTCCTCGAGTAAATTTTCAACATCATTAATGTTGATTCGAATGGTGAAGTTCTTTCCAAGTGGTTGCCTTGTCACTATCTATCCAACCAGAATTAATTCGTATAAAAAACCATTAATATGAAAATATAAATTTTGAATTAATTAATTTTTTTATCAAAAGAATTGCACTCACTCTGTACTTAACGCAATGAACAAAGTGACTCGGCGAAGGAGTCGAGTAAGAATTGACATTGTAAGTTACCAAGACTGAATTTATCTGACTTGCAATTTCTAGCTTGTAGGCTGACACTTTTATAATCCACGTATTGGTCACCACAATTTTCGTTGTACTATTCGTTCGGATCTGGAGTTTATTGAAACTGCAAAAATACTATTTATGGAATTCTTCAACGGAGGTGGACAGATCTCGACAATTACCTCTTGTACTCCCTGTTGACATCCGCAGCAATGTCAAGCCAGATTCCTGTATCAGTGCAGTAGATCCCCAATGATTTGGCAATTGGATGTTTGGAAAAACCATTTTTGGACCAATTAACGATTAAATTGAGTGCATAAATTGGTCCGATGAGTGCACATATGGATAATGTTAACCAAAGTGGATGCTCAGTGCCAAGGAATACTTGTGCAGAATCTATATGATCCAAGAGACTGAGTCCCACGATATAGCCTTGAGAGCAAATGAAAACATTATATCACAAGGTTATTTTCCATTTTTCATAATAAATTGCAGAGCTCCTCTCGTGGATACATAACACTTGTTACTCACCAAAAGGCAGCAATGAGTGAATAAATAATGTAACAATAGTCCGTTTTATGTGGTACTGCACAAAATTATCATATTCATTTCCTAACCAACTGGAAAATAAGGCTGGTATTGTTAAACCTGCAGATACAAATTCTGTGGGTGGATAAATTAAACCACTAACGAATAGAAAATATGCTATTGTGTAAATGAATAAACTTGTCATTTTTGTCTAGTTGGGAGGAGTGAGCACGATATTGATAATGAAAACAAAGGATAAAAATAGTCAACAACGATCAGTCACTTGGAGATTGGCCTCTATTGATTAATGAGCAGCTGGAGAGATGCACACACATGAACTGTAAATACGCATTCAGCAAGTGCTGTCTCGGACTGGTGCATAATCATAATGTCGGTAAGATAGATTTCAAATTGCATTAATATTTGATCTTGACTACTCTCCACTATGAATCTCCGACGATAACCCGCGATTCCACCGCGAACCATAGCCGATAAATAACCGTCTGAGCAACTGCTGAGTTCATGTAGTTCATGAATATACCGAGTGTTCAATGCAACAAGTAGCGTACAGACACCCGAAATTCAAATAACTTTCCAGGGTTAATTGCACTTTCTCAATTAAACCACCAATTTAAGTTTCCAAGTTACAACTCTTAAAAATTCTGCCAAACCAAAAAACCTCTGTCTTTCGATTGAGAATAACAGAACAAAAAAGTTCAACGATCCCCGTCATGACCATCAGAATAAACGAGATAGCACCCTCAATCCAAAGGGAATTTGTCCAAACTCTGTTCAATAATTCCCGGCGAAAAAAAAAAAACCGCTCCAATTGGGCCGATCTCCTGGCAACGGCGAGAGTAACCCATAACCATCAATTACTCCCCCCGAAAGCCAAATAAAACTGAATAACCGAGCGTACAAAAAACATCAGTAGGTAGTCGTCGAAACAGGCGGTCATTGGAAGAGGTGTTAAATCGTCCACTGGCGTATGAACCAACACAGCCCCTTGTAGACGTTAAATTAAAACAAACGTTAAGTATAGACGTGAAATGCCAACAGAAAAGTACAGGCTTTCTCTTTTCACCGAGTGGCCGAAGTTGCACTGTGTAATCACGATGATTTCTTGGTGATTTTTTAATCTTAATAAACCCCTTGGAGCCACCCAAACAACTCCACCCTATACCTTCGCACCTTTTCAATGTTTTCTTTTACCATCTCCCCACGAGTTCAACAGCCAGAGATATTTATTTCCCTCCTTCGACCCAAAGAAATTCACTAGTAGCCATTCGTAGAAGGGCCCACTCGAAATATTCACCATCGATATGCGTGGAAATTAGCATTTAAGGCGTGAATCTGGGCTCCGATCAGCTCACACCGATGAACCCTTGAAAAACACTTTGGCCGGCACCTCAAAAGCCCCAAAAACTCCGCCTGAAAGCAACACTTCTATCGTAGACCTTTATACGAGACTCATTCACGTATCTTACGATGAATATCGCTAAATATCTACCGAAAATCGCGGACCTCGCTACCTCTTTAATATTAACGTTACGAGAATGGCCTTCCGAAAACGAGCGATTTTAAATCGGATACCACCAATTCCCCGAAAATTTTAGTCTGATACTAAATGGAGCGAAGAAATTTTCAACATTTCTCACCCAATGCTCGGGTGGAATGATTTTGGGCTACTTAGCACGTGGCAATATATCCTATCATAACACCCCTGTGTGGGCGTGAAACGGCCAATTTTGATGTGAAAGTAATATATCAGATGGCGATTATCCCGGGGGTTATCATCGAATTATCGTTGAAACCGGGGAAAAGACTATTGGGAGGGTTTTTTGGAGGAATATTTCGAGCGGGAGCTGTCTTCTTCAACCATCTGGCTTCTGCTCTGATTCATGGGGGCCAGATACATCGGGCGGCCGCTTTCATGATCCCTAAACTGTGGAAATTGGGTTAGAAGGAGTGATCCATTTATTGCCCTCAAGACAACTCTTCTTTAAAATTATTAAACTGTATTTTTCAGTCATTTAAAGTCTCGTAAATATTCTGCCAATTGTACGTGTTTGTTGGGAGAAGGGGGTAAAGAGTTAAGACATTATTATTTCGGTGCTTTTAGAGGAGGATTGAAATTTCATCGTGGATTGAGCAGTTATTTTCACGATGAGATAAGGAGATAAGATTCGTTTTGTATTTCACAATTTTTAACGGCGGAGAAACGAATATTTCTCAGGTTAATGGAATTTTTACACATAATTTTGGGGATGGGTATGGGAAATTTACGCGAAAAAATTGGGACATTATAGGGTGCAGCATCTTTTTCGTGTAAATTTTCATGAATTATTGATAAAGCGGAGTGTGGCCATCTCAGGTACCAAACCAGCGTAAATCGGAGGATTTGTGAAGCACCTGGGCGACTGCAGTGTTAACTATATCCTAACGCCAGCATCGGAGTGCATAAAGAAAGATGAGAGAGCGGTATGAGAGAATGAGGGAAGAGGAAAGAAGAATTCAAGTGGATTTGAATCTGTTAAAGGATAATATACCCTGTGAATACGGGAGTTCTCGAGTTGAGGCGGCATAAGAACCAGTTGTAAACGACCAATTGTATTTAGATATCTTCAGCTTCTGCTTGGCCACTTTTTTCGCGTTCAGTGACTCATGTCAAAGAGTGCTACTGTGTCAATATTCAGTGGGACACTGTAAAAACCGGGGGCTTTGACTTTTAAATAAGAACACACATGAGTTTTGGCATTGCAGTGTCGGGGAACAGGAAAGAGACGTTGTACACGTGAATGACTGTCGTAAACATTTTTTTTATTCACCTTTCCAAAAATCATTATTCTCGTGTCCATTCTTCGACAGCACAGCAGATTAACATTTACATAACTGAAAATGACGTATGTTGATACACACGCGGGAAAATATTATTCTTTAATCTTGTACATTTCATTTTCAATGCCATATCGACATAGAAAAAGTAGGAGATTAATTATAATATACTACAGCTGTTTCTACGAACGCTCATTAACTTGAGTTAATTATTAATCACGGGGTCAAATTTCGTAAGCATAAAACAGATAATTAAATACAATATGTAGTATGTGATATGAAAATGAAATGCACTAGATTTGAGTATAAAATATCCTACATTCAAACAAATTTTTTTTCGTACATAATTTTTGATGAATTTTTTTTAATTGGGAACATGATTAACGCTTCAACTATTATTACTTGTAAAAGCATGATTAAATAACAGATAGTCTACATCCCCTGGAATTGGAGTAAAACCCGCGACTAAGCATTGCTTGAGCTCCTACTCATGATTTCATCATCGCCGGTCCCACCAGAGTGCATTATTACCAATAAATCTCCAAGGGGAATGATCGCAGACCGTTCCGGCAATAGCTGCTGACAGAGGCATTGTCAATATTCTGAAGTTGATATCTGTGTAGTTTAGAGAAGCCAGGAGGAAATTTGGCATTCTATCGGAGATTATCCAGACCATTCCCCGTCGTATCTAAAATTTGATTCACAAATGAGAGGAATGAGACAATAAAGGATTTGAGACAAAGAGATTTGTGATGGGCTCTTTGGTATTGACTGGTCAAGTTGATTTACCTTGACGTCAGCTGGGAAGATGAGTGCCTCGTCGTGTCGTGCTATTAGTGCATGATTAGCTGGTGAATAAGGGAGAAGAGAGTTCCAACAGCCAACGGCATTCTGATCGACGAGATTGAATATTTGAAGGCCATTCTCGTCCATCACTTCCGATGTTGAATGGCCCATGAATCGTTCAGCAAGGGGCTAAAATCGACAGGTCCTCCATCTTAGGCAATTGATGGAAAATAAATAGCACAAAGAATTTATGGAATTGGTGATATTACTTGGAAATCATGGTAACTGTCGAGAGCGAGAACTGGATCCCTCAAAATTCGGGTGGACACAGCGAATTCACGATTGCTGCTGAGAGGATGAAAGAATAATGTTCTGTAGCCGTCTAAGGCAATGGGGGACAGGCTCATCCCAAAAATTCCCTCCTCGCCCCATTGGAAATTTAATCCACCAATGTTGTAATCACCAGCTAGAGGATCGGGCATGAAATAGCTGTGAGTAGCTCGCCAGGAGGTGTTATTCTCCCAGGAGTAGATTATCAGACCGTACCCCAGTTCGTCGGACATGTAGGCGAAAGCATCGTCGCAGCCACCTTTGCCCAGATCCACAGCAATATTCGCGATGAAAGTGTTCTGGGGGGAACGAGACGTGCGTGAAGGTAAAGTACCCCCTCTTAATATCTCTATCATTATAAATTACATGTGAGTGCGTTGTCGGCAAGAAGGAATTCTGACTATCGAATGAGTTAATTTAATTACTATTGTTATCACCATCTTCGATTTTGAGGTAATTAAATTCGCTGAAAATGGTGGCAACAGGTAATCAATTAACAAGTCTCCTTCTGAGAGATAACCACTGGATTAAATTTCTCTGTTTACTTCGTAAGTGATTACACTGCTGAAGATTTTCAAGTGGAATTATCAATACCATTACTTGAAAAGTCATCATTCCCTGGTATTTGTAGAATTTTCGGAATGTTTGCAATGTCATATCACTGATATTCCCAGTAATATTGAAGGTTCAGAACCAAGTTGAAGAACAAACGCGATTCCGGATTCACGTGTTTGATTAAAAAAAAAATGGAAACTAATTTGGGAATCTTCGAATGAAGATTTCATGCATGTGGGAAAAATAATGAAAAAAACGCGACAAAGTGAATGTATAATTGTTATCATCTCGGCCAGCGGTGAGTTAATGAAATCCCCCCGAAAGTGGGTGAAATCACCGAGTTCGCGTTATCAACGGATTATTAGCGGTGAAAATAAACGCCGTACCATATTAATATCGTCTGGCCTGAGTTTATACTGTCTGAGTATCTTGTCAGTGGTAAGATCAAATACATTAAGCGTATAAGGACAGGCTTGTACAGTAGTATTTCCTATTCCAATGGTGCCAGTGTCGAGTACCCAAAGTCTGTCACACTCGTCCGCATGAATTCTATAACATGAACAAATAGGTCATAAAATCAAATGAACAACATTGAGGTAGAGGTTACAAGGATCCCACATTATATCTCATATCGTTTAATCAAGACATATTTGCATATGATTGTCTCACCTGTATGCAGTGGTGAGACCACTACCACAATCGCCAGCTTTGTTCTGCGCCCAGTTTGGATAGGGTGATAGCTTTGGTGATCCACCACGATTGGTATCCAGTGATATGTAATTCAAGGTTGCCGGTATACCTGCAGCAGTTTACACCTTTTGTATCGGTTTTTTACGTATCACCATGAAATACCGGTGTCATAAAGTTCATTTTATTGGTAATCCTAAATTATGTCAATCCTGTTTTTAAGAATTTTTGACTCTGACTACGTGCGCTTGAACACCACCCGGATCCAGACTTTTTTTTTTTTCTCTCTCTCTTCTCAATGGTAAATGTCACATCTCAATCGAATAAACTCGTTCACACACATGTATTTAAGGATCATTAAATTTTTAAGGATCTATGCGTCATCGGAACGAGTGCATTAAGACATTCTCATGTTACTCGGGTTGGTTTAATGGATTCATTTGACTGAGAGAAGTTAGTGGGTAATTGGATAAATTTGGATCTTGCGAGAGTAGATAATACAGTAATTATCCTAATTGTTTCTGGAATTGGAGTTTTGTTAATTATGCGAGGAGAATTGGATTTGGTTGTGAGGGAGGTCGCTCTCGGAGTAGTTTCATTAATTTCTTGGTCTTAATTGAGAAATAGATTTGGAAGGGTTTTTGTTGGATTTAAATCGGGGAGAGGATATCGGGGAAAGTGGTGGATGTAGCGGAGTATTTCTCATCGGTTTATATCGAATGAATATATAAATTGCACCTGATAACTTAATTTACGCCCAGGGGGTACGATTCTTCTGCCCACGCTTTCCTCAGAAGTGAACCGACGCTCAAGTTTTTAAGAGCAGTTTCTTTTCATACTCAAGCATCACCGTGAGCCAAAACGAGAATTTTCATCGGTGTTATTTTTTTTTATCCTTTGATAGTCGTAAAGGGGGCGACATGCACAGGTGTAAAAAAATGTCACGTAACTGGAGGACACGGGCTCCTCTTGTTGGTGGAAAAAAACTTGTTCCTGGCCGCACAACGACACAATCGTAATGCTTATCGCCCACAACAGCGGACCCATTTCTTCGGATCATCTCCCCTTTTGAGAATTTGTTATTCATGGAAACTGGCGAACATGGGAATATTTTCGTGCAGGTGATTTTATCATTTTATTACCATTGCTACAGTTTTGTTAGGATATTCGAAAACCCATCAAATAACGTTTCCTGCATTACCCCCGTAAAAACAACAAAAAATCACTCAATTGCTCTATCAAATCTTTTTTGTACTCCAATGGGCCTTTCATTTGTCCCCGTAATACAATTCGTAATATTTTCCAGAAATTTCCGGTCAACGTGACACATCGCCAATCTGCCCCAGAAATTCAATAACCGAGAAAAAATCGGTGAAAAAAAAAATCCACCAAAAAAAAAAATAATCCAACGTAGAAAAACTGCAGGCGGCCCCTAAAAAGATGAACAGACCAAAAAAACATTCACATCGAGCTGAATAAAACCCCCATTCACGACAGGAATTGGCGAATTCACTGCGCGGCGATGGTGGCATTCATTTCGTTTCACCCGGGCGACAAGAATTTTTTCGGCATTTCTTCGCGTATATCCATTTTTTTCCCTTTCGTCTCGCAAGAGCCGGAAGTCTCCCAGACGAGATTCAAGAGTTTGTGCCCCCAAGAGTCCATGAAACCCGGTAGGAAAGGTCCAAGAAGGACCATTTCCGCTTCACCGTCTCATCTCCACCCTTCCTAATTTTTTACATTCAGCGAAACACATTTTTTCTCCCTCCCCCAGGCCTCCTGCATCCGTAATCGACCACTGGTTCTTCTGCTGCGTTCACGCACTTGAAACGTATGAATTAGAGAATGAAGTGAGTGAAAAAAAAAATAATAAAATAAAAAAATAAAATGAAATAAGGGAAGCATTAGATTGGATAATGAGACTGACCATTCTTCCACCTCGGTACGGTAACGAAGAGCTTGTTCCGCCAGATTTCGATGCCGACAGGAAGTCCATTCTGGGGTATATAGTCACCGCTTGCAAGAGCAGCATCGCGGCTCAATTGATCTGGATATGCCCAGTCCAGCATATTCCAAGAGTACCTCTCAAGTATGGGTGCACGTCCGAAATTAGCACCCCATCCATTTCCCTTAGAATCACTAGCACCGTACAGTCCATACTGATCAGGTGACAATGCCAAGACATTATCTAGACACACAGTAATTGTAACAATAACCAGTGAAACACACTTCATGATTGATCGATGATTGGTGGTGCACCGCAAAGCGGAATGAGGACAACTGAGTCCAAGAGGTGCTGAGCGAGGTGTATTTATGGGAGATTTAGGCCCCACGTTTTGATGGTAAATCTAGACCACTGCGTGTCAGGGAGTCAGTTATCTGAGAGAAATTCTAATGGTGAAACGTGCACGGGGGAGATAGAGTTAATGGGGGGAGGTTGATCCCCCACGGTACGTAGAGAAGGTAATCCAATGGCTCTTTCACTCGTGTTGTTCACTTGTGGTTTTCCCATTGCATGAAGCACTTGGTCTCATGGATTTGTTTTTGGCACTCAAGGTTGCTTTTCCAAGTTGTTACGGTCACAATGATTTCATCACGTGATTTTTTATTTTGACGTGTCAATGTGCCTTCACGATCGCTCGATAATTTCGAGTGTACAAAGTCAATTGTTGTTCTGGTTCATTTAGAGATCATACTGATAAATCCATTATTCCCGCTATTTATTTCCTTGATTTTATTTATTTTAACAGATTTTCGCATGACACTGGGGTATGGAGAAATATTAGTGAGAATTCCTCGATTGATAGGGCGCAATTGGAGAAATATTACATAAACCATAAAGTGTCTGCTCCCTTTCATAATTGAATGAATCATTAATTACACATAATGTGGTAATTACATCGCCGGTTGTAATCAGTTCGCTGAGAAACTCGGAAAGGGAAGGGGAATCAATTGATCTAAAATTGATAGAAAAGGAGGGAAGGCAATTGAAAGGATCGATTACGATGGGGAACGCACGGGAATCGCGGAAGGATAATTATTTCAATTATCGAGAGGCTTGGGTTGCCCACCGGGATAATCAGGGGCGTGCACTGTATACATGACTCTCCATGCGTGGACCCCCACGATGCGAATATTTCCACGCTAACTCATCAACCCCGTGATGTATCACAAGTTAAACTCACTGAGATTCACTACCCCCTATTAACAATCAATTAATACACCGTGATTTCAATTGAAATTATTTTTACAACCACATACTCCCATTTCTGGCAGTGCAACCGTCACTCTCCTGATTTTCCTGTTTTCATTTTTTAAATTTTCGGGGGTTTGCATATCTCGAGGTTTCGCGTAAAATCGTTAGCATAGAAAATATTTCGTTTCTGCCACAGAGACAAATATATCGAAACGGTAATAATTTTAATGCAACACTTCTCCCTGAAGTTTCAATTTTTTCCTTTCGAAATTTCGTAAAATTCCAGTAAATACTAAAATATGATCAAAATAGCCTCAAAATACAGTGTGATCGCCGTAAATGGGGGTGCAGAATGAGAAATTATTATAATCAATCCCTTTCGCAATGAGCAATTCGTTGACATTAATTGGCACTCACTGCCAGTGGTTTCCGAATAAAACATTATGTTATGAAATTGATCGGCTCGATTGCTCGAGCTGGATAACCGAAAACTGGTGTTGGTTTAGCTTTGAAGAATAGGAAATAAATATGGTTGAATATGGCTGAAAAAATAAGAGGGGCGTAAGAGCGCAATATCACCTACGCTCCTTTCACCTGAGAACGACGATATAATCGTTGTCAATCATGAGGCATTGTCCAACCAATTAACCCGGAAAGCAGGTTTTCCCCTCAAGCCAGCATCGTAAATCGCTGTAGACATATTTTTTGCTGGTCATGGAAAATTATATAGAGCTGCAATGGCTTAAAATTACAACTAAAAACCACATTGGAATTACACATACGTTTTTGATGATGGTGAAAGCAGCAATTTGTCGGACTGATGGCTGATTGAACGTTGGAATGATTTTGAATATTCAATCAATTTCTCCACCGATCAATGGAGAATTACCTGGCATCCATTACCCTATCGTTGGGCTTTTCCTACGGTTTTTACAATAGCCACTCATTTCCTTTTCATGATTGTCCAAGGTTTATAGCTGTCATTGCGTGATGAGTATCTAGAAGGTAGCATGCGAACGTTTAGACTCGTTGTTTTTTGTTAAGGAAGCTAGAAGTATAAGAATTGAAATCGTTATATCATTATAACTTTCTCGTCAAGAAGCGATGACAATGCGTGAAACATTAGCACGCTTCTGCCCCTATTTATGCAGTTCTATCGAAAGTTTTTAATGTATGATGCCTTTTTATTCTGTGTGAAGACACGTATTTCAGGAATCGGCGTTTTGCTGATGCTTAATTGTGGGTAATTATTAGTACAACTGCATTCAAACTTTGTATATATGGAGGGACTAGGATGTGAATTCCTCGTGGGTTTCAGCATGAAAAGGAGAGCAAAACTTCACAGCAAAAAATGCGTGTTAAAGTGGAGAAGGAAGCGTTTTTCTATTAGATGTTGGGACTCTTGCAACGGGAGGAGAAAGTCAATCCCTTGCATTCGTGTAATTAGGCATGTGGACGTGACAGAGAAATGCGTATGTTACGCGTTGAAAAATACAGCTGAGAAGTATTTTCTGGATTGCTTATAAAGTTGGTTTGCGTGAAGCTTATCTAGTCATGAAGAAATCCTGGGGAAACTCAGTAAAATTGTGGAATTATGATTTTGATCGTCATATAAAAAGGAGTGTGTAGAAATGAGAGAGTAAGACAAGTGTAAACATTATTCGTCACTATTTTATCATTGCTGCTACTTCATGTTATCAGAAAAACATTAGACTTTGACAGGTGCTGTAACATGACATTTTCGTGATTGACATATCTACTCACTGGGTGTGATCACCACAACATTTTCAACCCACTAAATCAACGGTTAAAACTAATCACCATCTGCTGTTAGAAGGGCGAATGATACTTGACCTCGCTTGGAATTCTTCGGCAAATTTGGAGCAAATCCATCGTATTAGGTTGTTATCAGTTGCCACACATATTCGATTGGAAATATTTATTGCAGACGTTGCACGACTGACTCGTTGACAGCCTCTCCAGATCGATTTTATGCAACTCAATTGAGATAAAACTTCCTATGCACGCAGCTAAACTATCGAGCGTGACTAAATTTTTTTCCATTTGGTTGCGACACGAGAATTATATCTATAGACAAATACAATATTTAGTAAGGAGTGTGAATAATTCAATAATGTTTGGTCATTCTCAAGGAGTTCAATTGGATTTTTCAAATGCAAAGTGATCCCTACTGGAACATTAATGATGTCCATTGATATACTTGAAAAAACGTTGCCTAATGAATGGACAAATGATTGACAACTACGTATATGAAATTAATTAAAATCAAGGCGGTCTTTAAATTTCTAGGCAATTATGGATTGCTGGTAATTTTAATTGGCCGTCAATTAAATGTGATTAGACTTCGTGTTATTATTTGTGTCATCATAATTTAATATTTTTCATGGCTAGTCTCAGTCGTTTTTTCAGTTCCTATTTTCTCGTGGGGGTACTGAACTATCCGTTTCCTGGAGTCATTTAATCAAACAGTAATTTAATGATTTAGATCCAGCGACGTAATTGTTTGGTGCTTGTAATAATTCATAGTGACTGAACTAGTTATGCGATATGTATGGATCAATTCAGGGGAGTCTTTTAGTCACATTAAAAATGGTTATGTAATTATTTTTTAAAATGGCATCGCGTTTGCTTCCTATTTTAAAAAATCGATATTACTAAATCATTTTTATTTTATAACTGCAGTTGATAATGACGAAAAAGTGGTGGCAACAATTAGAAAGTTGATCGAAGCACGCGTGTTTTCCACATTGATTTAAAAAAATGAAGAATTTTTCTGTAGAAATTTGATTGCCTCAATAATAACTATTGCAACACTCCCATGCAAGGTGGATTTGATATGTGATTGATTCAGAGTCAACTTTATGAAGTGGATTCGAAGAAAAATTGCCCGGAAAATTTAGAAGTCTTCAAACAAATATTTTAATCCCGCGCAGCTTTTGCGGAAATGGTAAACATGACGAGTCAGATGAATTTTATTTCATCTAATGTCACGATCCACTAGCGATGAGCAAAATTTATTCGCATGAATAAATGCCTGTAGCAGAATTTTTACGGGAATCACGAGGTTTGTGGAAATTTATTGCGCCAATCGAATGTAACATAAAATCGCCATCTTTATCTTCATTAAGTGGAATTCGGAACCAGTTATGTACAGTTCCAGTTCAGTTTCAAACCTATAATAATTAAAAATTACGTAAGAAATCGTGGTACTTAATTGGAGATTTTTTTCAATAATGAATTTTCAGTCACGCTAAGGGCTTGGGAATTAAATTTTCGGCAATGAAAAATGGGATTAATTAAATGAGCACTTCAGTGAATTTGAAAAGTCTCTGGAAGAGATTTTCAGGATATTCCAGTATATTTTTTACTCCTATCATTTATTACGAAATAATTAAAACAATATATTTATACGGGGAGCGAGGGTAAAATTCCAGAGCCAAATCTTCCGATTGCATCAGAGCATTGCAGGACTGAAAATTCTGGGATTCAGCAAGAACTCCGTAACGTATGTGAATGTGAAGTGAATGAAGTGACTCCGAATTGAATATTGAAGTGCCCGGAATTGAATAACAAATCAATTCACCAAAACTGGAAACTCCGCATACTTGAAATTCTCCTCGACAAACGCAATCCCACGAATAACTCATTAAACCGCCCATAATTATCGGCCAGCAATTGATTCCCTGGACTGACTTCTCCAAGATCCATTTTCCACTAAACCCGTCTCCTCATTACAACTTCACATCCGTCACGCGTGATAATTCCACAACCCCTAATTATCAATGGTCTCTCGGCATGTGATTACAGAACTTCATGCACCGTGATTTCTGAAAAGGGGTTATTAGCTCGTATCATTACGCATGTTTTATTATATCACGACATCGCATTTGCGATGTCGTGAGGATTGAATGCGTTACCCTTGCCGACCTTGATTACATTTATCGTCGATGATTCAGCAATTGAATTGAAATGAGTGGTGTGGATTTTTGATGTCGGTGCAATCAGGGGTGAATCGGTATACAGGGGAATGCCATAAAGGAAAGTGTTCTCGTTAATTTTTTTCAGTGTCTGTTGATTTACCTGGGCA